GTAACCATCTAGCACAAACAGCATCCATCTAAGTAAGGATGACTGGTCTGCAAGTGTGTGTGTGTGTGTGGTCCCCATGTTGCATCGATCGCCGAATGTGTGGGTTAGGCAGCGGCGTGGCCACCCTTGCGGTAATCCTTATGCAGCCTGGCCTCACCGCAGATGCAGATTTTCTGAGGTTCATATCGGGTGAGGGCCAGCTCGCATCCCAGGACGAGGCTGCAGAGCTGCACAGAGCTTCCCAGAGAGAACCAGCTTGTTGCCTCGTGCCCCAGGGAAGAAAGCTGGAAGGCCATTTGATCAACAACAATCCACTCCAAGTGCTGGTGTTGAGGCTCGGATCAGTCACACATCGAGACAGTTTGCAGTTTGATTCGATCCCCTTTGCCAGGAAGCGAATTCTTTGGGTCTGCTGCTTGGAGAGGGCTACTGTGGACACCGTTGCGAGTACGTCGCAGCTGCCCCACAAAGGCCAACTGGGAGGATATGGCCACTAACATCAAGCAGAAGCTTCGCGGAATGGGTGCGGAATTCACGTGCGGGTTGAATTGATCCACACTGTGAGAGCTTGACGCAGGATTCCGTGGCGAAGTGGAAGTTCGCTTTGACTCTCAGGAGACGTCGCTTCGGGAACGAGCTTTTTGGTCGGTCCATAGTTCCACAACATCACTTGAACAGGAGGACCTGCGGATTTACAGGACCCCTGCGTTCGGGATGTGCAGACTGCAGTATAATCTTGACCTAGAGGCTTCATGCTTCGTGTCTTGACACAGGAATCTTCGATGGCAGAATTTTGTCCGCACACCCATCACCCACATGCTTTCGGTACGCCCCCCCCTACGCCAAAAGCGCCCCTGCAAAAAGTTGACCCCAGCAGTAAGTACTGCGCAGGTGCTCTCTGGCATCGGAGTATTGTTTTGGGTGCCCTACCTCTACTGCCGCTCTGATGTAGCATCTTGGTCAGAAGGGCGGGCTTGTGTACAGTGTTCGAAATTCAGTAGAATTGGGAAAGCAATTTGCAAGGTAGTTGTGGAGACCAACTTCCAGATTCAAGTCGATGTTCATCGGCCGGCTACCCAGGGGCGAGAGAGGGGACGGAAGACGAGCTCGCGGATTCTCGGATCTCCGGCAGGTACTGGGAGATGCTGTCGCAAGGACCGCGACGAAGAGGGATGAGAGGGCTCCTATGGTACCTTGTAATACCGGAACCCTTAAATCGGAACCCTGAGAGGGCTGAGAGGGGAGGGGCCCGGAGCGCTCGCCTGCAGGGCTGGACATCTCTGAGGGCTTCCGCACCTGACCTCGCTGCTGGCTGCTCTGAGCTCTCAGGGCCAGTGTGGGGAGGAAAAAGCGAGAAAAAAGGGGCGGTTTTTCCACCTGTGCGCCTTCCTTGGTCTTGGTGCTGACAGTGCGAGAAGGATGACAAGCTCTTGTTCCTTGCCTCGCAGGAGAATGCCACGCAGCTGATCCAGCTCTTTAAGGAGCACGCTAAGAAGAAGGATGGATACCTAAGCAGCCCACTTGGCATGCGGCGTGGCTTGCAAATCCTGTCTTGAAAGCGGCCAAGGTAAGGATGAGTTCATAGCTGTGCTGCAGAAGTGAGCCATTTTAGTTTGCATCCGGAGCTTGGCGTGTAGAAGTGGCCCAAAGTGGTGGCCGCAGGTATCCTTGCTGCAACTCGGCCTACCACACTGTCTTCTTTGACCTTTTCGATCGGAATGAGGATTTCGGGAGATGCTAGAGATCAGACATCACCACTCTCTGGCAGCAGAACTTGCCCAGGACGGCTTTCTGAGCGAATCGGATTTCCTCGGTGGAATGCTGGCGGTGAGTCGGCGCCCCGCTAACCGTGAGATCCGTGATTTGTTTGCCATGGCCAGGCATGTCCAAACTCCTTGGGTGCCACAGACATGGACCGAGATATATTAGGAGAGCATGGATCAGGACATGAGAAAAACGCCGGCTAAATCCCTGATCTTCCATCGCGATTCTTCCAGGTCACCCCGCACTCAGAAGGCCTGACAGCACGCATGAACCCTCCCAAAACGCAGACTCAGCCCAGACTCAGCCCAGACTGCGGCGGCGACCGTGGGCCCGAAACCTCCTCTGAGCCGACGCCATGGCTGCGGCTTCGCCCGCGTTGCTCGGGGTCTGGTAGCCGATGTTCGGCAAGGGCCGGGGGAAGAAGGGCAAAGTGCCCGAGACGAGGCCAAGCTCCTGGGCCATCCAAGGCGGCGCCGCCGAGAAGATCATCAACACGCCCACGCAGCCTCCGAACAAGAAGCAAAAGAAGGGCGATGGCAAAGGGAAGGAGGAGAAAGCCGAACCGAAGATGGCCAACGAGCTGGCGAAGAATCAGGCGACGGAGGAGCAAATCGAGGGCATCTGCGATCTCCTGCGCTCCAACAAGGTCGAGAAGGCGCTGCAGTTTGTCCAGAAGGCTCGGAGATCTCGGAGCTCGTATTGGAGTTCTTATTATAGTATGTCATAGTTTTATTGTGATTATTGTGATTATAGTCCTTATAGTAATTAATAGTTGTAGTGTTGTGCTGCAGTTCTCTCTTCAGCTCCCCTTGCAGGAGCTTGGAGACGTGTCGAAGGCCAACTCCATGTCTGTCAAGCAGCTTGGCCAGCTGGTCAACGCCGTCGGCCTCCGGACACCACAGGAGCCTTTTTTTCTGCCAGATCCGGCGCTCCTCGAACTGCCAACCGTGCCTCTTCTATAGCTGCTCGTGTACGTCGCACGTCTGTGTATGTGGAGATGTGTGTCTGTGCGTGAGTGTTTGCATACCTAGTAGGTAGTTCCAAAAATGCTGAGCCAAGTGATTTCGACGGGACTTGGCTCATCATTTTGGAGTTTTCAAGACCCGAAACCTCCAAAATGCTGAGCCAAGTGATTTCGGCGGGACTTGGCTCATCATTTTGGAGTTTTCAGGACCCGAAACCTCCAAAATGCTGA